CTTCACCCAAAAATGCTTGTCATTGTTGGTCTTCAAACTTTTTCTGTTGACCTGGACGTTCTTCGTCTTTCACATCGAAATCATCCCTTTAAAGCGTTTACACCAGCGTTCACAGGTATCTTGAGATGGAGCATGTTCACCATAAGCTTCCCGAAGTATACGATCACTTTTTCTTCAAAATAATGAATTAAAACTTCCCACAAATGTTCTTTTTTTTGGCATGAAATTCGACATTTTTAAGTGTAAAAATATCTATGATGTTAACACCTTCAGAAAATTTGACATATGAAATTTTGAAGCTTGTTGTCAACACAACAAAATAGCAGACATATCAAATCGCATATAAATCAACATATGCATAACTCTGCCCATTGAAAAATCTGCATTATTAACCGATACACCTAGTGGACAAAGCCCTGGCTGGTTTGGCTCAGTGGATAGAGTGTCGGCCTGCAGACTGAAGGGTCCTGGGTTCAGTTCCAGTCGGGGCACATGCCGGGGGTTGTGGGCTCGATCCCCAGTAGGGGGCGTGCAGGAGGCAGCCAATCCATGATTCTCTCTCATCATTGATGTTTCTCTCTCTCCCTCCCTCTCCCTTCTTCTCTGAAATCAATAAGAATATATTTAGAGAAAGATATAGACAGAGTTTGTGTGGATACAACACGCTCACACACTCGTCCTTTTTCCTGTTTGACATCCGGCTGCTTGGGTCTGGAATGAGAAGCAGAGACCGGACAAGCTCACGGGCAGCTCCGCGGCTGGGCCCGCAGGGGGCTCAGTGAGGTTCTGGGAGGAATCCGTGTCAAAGTCAGACTGCTGTCTGGAGTTCCTGCCCCCGCCCCTGCCCCCCTCTCCCACCAGGAACTTTCCTTCACCTTCCGAAGGCAGCCCTGGTGTCTGCCTGCAGCCGGGATTGTAGTCACTTGGGCTCGAAGGTGACACTTCACTTTATGAAACCAGATGGCCCATCGGAAGGCGCCCCCGACGTTCACCCTGGTTCCGCCCCTGCACCCCCCCGCACCTGACCCCCCTGCACCTGAGGAGGGGCCTGGCTTCTGTCGCCCTTGCCCGAGTGCCCGGGGGCATTTCCCAGGGCCCTGTTAACAGCCTTCCCAGGAGCAGTCATGGGGCAGCGGCCCTGTCAGTCATGGGGCAGCGGCTCCCTCTCACCCCGTCTGCCTGGCAGTGGGCAGCCCCTAGGCCCAAGGTCACACGGAGGACATGACCCAGAGCCGCTCCCCCATGGTGCCTGCTGCTCCCCTCCCTCTGTGGCAGCCCGGGGACTTGGGAGACTTGGTTTTCCTCCAGAGCTGGGAGAGCTGGAAAGCGGAAAGTGGGGGGAAAGAAAGAGGAGGTGACTGGGAGGGACAAGGATGAGGAAGGGCCCCGTCGCCCCCTGGGAAGGAGATGTGAGGCGGGCAGGGGAGCATGGGAGGGGATCCTGGGGGCCATCTTGCTCTGCAGGCCCCTTTCAGGGTCCCCCGCCCTGCCATGGGGCCCTCCAGCTTCACATGCTGGGACCGAGGTGCCCCCCAGCGGTCTGCTGAGGCAGAGCGCTCCCTAGACCATGGCTGTCACGGACAGGCCAGCTGTCTGCCCAGTGGGGTGGCCCAGGGGTGCTGGGGGCCTCCGCCCTGGAACTGGGGGCGTACCCCATCCTGAGTTCCATTCCCAGCAGCCTGAAGGCTCAGTGTCCGGGGGAGGCTCGGGTCACTGGGCTCCCGGGTGGTGGGATCTAAATGGTCAAAGTGGGACCGTCCTGAGGACGCCTGCGTGGCTGGTCACCTGTGTCCTTCTCCCCCAGACCCTCTGGCCCTGCAGGCGAGTCCCCCACACCCCCGCCTGGCTCCCCGCCCCCCTCCCGGCCCTCGCTCAGGGAAGCATGTGATCTTGCTCCCTTGGTTCCTGGGGCCCCCCCCCGCCCTGGCCCCGGGACGCAGCCCTTCCTCCTCTGGCCCTGGCGGCTGGCACCGTCCACAGCGGACGCGTGAGGCCCGGGGCAGCCCCGGACGCAGGGCCAGATGGAGGAAAACCCCCTGGTGCCCCATAGCCGGGGTCCCCACGTCTACCCCACCCCAGCCCCCCTTCCCGGGGTCACCCCGAGTCACAGGCTCACTCTCCGTGGAAACGTCCTGCAGCATCTTTAATGCTCTCGCGGGAAGATGAGGCCAATTACAGCCTCGAGTGCGAGTGACACCCTATTTATAGCGTCTGGGAGGCTCCTTCCCGAATCGTCCCCACAGGCCCCCCAGGTCCCCACATCCTGACACGTGCAATTTGCCCGACAGATCTGTACGCTGCCCCCGTGTCCCTCCAACCAGCGGAGGACAATGATGTGGAGGCGAGGCGGGCACGGGGCCGCTGCATGCCCGGCTCCTGGAGTCTGGCCTGGCCCAGCATTTTGCCCAGCCCCCCGACCTGGTAGAATCCCTGAGGTGGACCATGGGTGGGGAGGGGGTATGACCCCACCCCCTTCAGGCAGTCAGAACCCCCCACTGGCTGCAGCCATGACCGTGGCTCTCAGACCAACAGATGCCCAGCCCCAGGCCCCGCACACCACAGGCAGGGCTGCCTGCAGCGCCCAGTGAAGAGATGGGGGCCGCTGGCCCTCGCCCTGTTCCCCCACTTCCTTCAGCCCTGAGCGTGGAGGGCAGAGGTGGCGTGCCCTGTGCTCCCCACACCCTGGGGGCTGGGCAGCCTGAGGGTGGAGCCAAACAGCGGGTCTGCCTCCTGCCCCTGGAGGGAGAGACACATTCCTGCACATGCACGAGGCCTTCCAGCAGGTCTGGGCACCGCCTATGCCCCCACTTCCACACCCGCCCCACCTCCCCTCCCCTTCAGCTTCGTCCGTTTGGCCAGCTGCAGGGAGGGGCGGCGGGGAGACTCCTGGACGCTCTACGACAGGGACCTACTGTGGGCAGGAGCGGCCCTCCTGGCTCCCTCGCCCGCGGGGCAGGGTCAACTCCGTCCCTGGGTGCCACCACACTGTCCCCACACAGGGGCGGTCACCTCTCCCCTCCCTGCTCTCCTCCTCTCCCCGTCTCCCCCACTTCCTCCACAGAGAGCAGCAGACCGAGTGCGCGGGCTTTGGGCAAAACACAGGAGCCGGCAGTGGCTCTCGGCCTTGCTGCCAGGGCGCCGGGCCGCACGTCAGGGGACGGCGGAGGCCAGGGCCCGGCCTGGAGTCAGCAGGGGGGGCTGTGCGGCGGGGCCCTAGCGGGCAGGTCCGAGCGCAGGCAGCTCTGTGGGTGCCGAGGCCGGGGGCAGCAGGTCCAGGCCCGTCCCCGGGTCGCTCACGCATGGATGGCGTTGGCTACGTCGGTGAAGACCAGCCGGCTGGGCCTCTGCACTGGGCCCTGGGCCGGGAGGGTGGTCTGCGGGGAGAGTCAGGGCATCAGGGGCCTCGGCCAAGGCCACACGCTCTGGCCCAGCGCCCCACTCCCCGCTGCTGCCCAGGCCTCCCTGCCAGCTCAGCCTAGAAACCGGGCCTGCGCAGATGGCCCCTCCCGATGCCATGCCCGGTGGCCTGGCAGCACGCCCCCGGCCAGGGCTGGTTAATGATGCAGGCACCATGGCTCGCGGGGAGCAGGGCTCACCTCACAGCCCAGCCCGGCACAGGCCCGGTGGCGGCTGCACAGAAAGCAGCTGGTTCTGCCTGAGCGTCGACCTAGGAACCAGGAGGTCACGGCTCAATTCCTGGTCAGGGCACATGCCCAGGCTGTGGGCTGGATCCCCAGTGGGGGGCGTGCAGGAGGCAGCCAATCTTGGATGCTTCTCTCTCTCTCTCCCTTCCTCTCTGAAATCAGTAAAAATATTTTTAAAAAAAGAAAAGAAAAAGAAAAAGAAAGCAGCTGTCACAGCTCAGGAGTCCCATGGGCCGGCAACTGCGATCTCAGCCCCATTTCTTGACGATCCCCAGGGCACCGTGTCCTGAGCGCGGTGACCGGGACTGGCGACCAAACCAGGGCGCCTCTGGCCTCCCGGCCGGGCTTTGCCTGGGTCCAGTCCCCTAATTCTGCCTCGGGTAAGGCCAGACCCCTCCCCCAGCCTGTGGGCCAGGGAGGAGGGATGCAAAGGGCCTCCATGGGGGGACCAGGCCTCCTCCTGCTGCCGTGGCCCTTGGGGTGGGGGGCCTGAGGGCAAGCGGCCGGGCAGCCCGTGACTCCGGCAGGAAGACCACACAGGCCCCGCCCTGTGGACGCAGGAGGCGAGGCCCACCGGCCTGCGGTCGG